TTTTCCCCGCAGGACGGTGGTGATGCCGATCGCCCACGAGTTCTGTCCCGACGTGGTGTTGGTGTCCGCCGGTTTCGACGCGGCCGAGGGCCACCCGCCCCCCCTGGGGGGCTACAAAGTCTCGGCCAAGTGTAAGGAGGGGGCTCGGAACCCTCGGTGGTGTCCCCTCGGGGGCGGGGTGTCCCCTCTGGGGGCGGGGTGTCCCCTGTCCCCCCACCCACCTGGGCTGGGACCCCCGGGAAGGGGCAGAATCCTGGGGAGAGTTCGGGGTTGGATTTGGGTGGGGGGAGGTGACATTCCCGGTGTGGTGACATTCCCGGGGGGATGACATTCCCGGGGCTGTGACATTCCCTTTGCGGTGACATTCCCGGGGCTGTGACATTCCCGGTGCAGTGACATTCCCGTGCTGGTGACATTCCCCTGCCGGTGACATTCCCGGGGCTGTGACATTCCCGGGGCTGTGACATTCCCGGGGCTGTGACATTCCGGAGGCTGTGACATTCCCATGGAGATAACATTCCCTTTGCGGTGACATTCCCGTGCCGGTGACATTCCCTTTGCGGTGACATTCCCGTGCCGGTGACATTCCCGTGCTGGTGACATTCCCGGGGCTGTGACATTCCCGTGCTGGTGACATTCCCGGTGTGGTGACATTCCCGGGCTGGTGACATTCCCGGTGTGGTGACATTCCCGGGGCTGTGACATTCCCGTGCCGGTGACATTCCCGGTGCGGTGACATTCCCGTGCTGGTGACATTCCCGGGGCTGTGACATTCCCGTGCCGGTGACATTCCCGTGTCGGTGACATTCCCGGGGCTGTGACATTCCCATGGAGATGACATTCCTTTTGCGGTGACATTCCCGTGCCGGTGACATTCCCTGGCTGGTGACATTCCCTTTGCGGTGGTATTCCCGTGCCGGTGACACTCCCGGGGCTGTCCCCAGGTTTCGGTTACATGACCAAGCAGCTGATGACCCTGGCGGGGGGGGCCGTGGTGCTGGCACTGGAGGGTGGCCACGACCTCACGGCCATTTGTGACGCGTCCGAGGCCTGCGTGTCCGCCCTGCTGGGCCACGAGGTGAGAGCCGGGGCTG